TCTAGTCTCAAAGAACTCTGCCGGGAGAGCCCAGACAAGGCCTGGGCGAAACTGGTGAGGCCACTAGAGTCCACTCCCTCCTCCCCGCAACATTTTTATCTTTTCCTTCCTTAGAGAGAAATCTCTCACCTAACCTGAATGGCAGCCCCCTCCTCTTTGCTTTCCTTTGGCCTCCCTGACCTCAGGAAGTTTGGCCTTCCCTTCCCCCCATCCCAGTGCTGTGGTTTCTGCCATTGGCCATGATTTCAGGGAGCTAGCTGAGGCCACAGCAGTGCCAACAGGGTTTCCCTGGTGCTGCGGCACATGTCAACCACGCACCCAGCCTCTCTCCTTGGACATGTGAACACAGTGGCAATCAGTATCGTAGTAGCCCGGCATGGTAGGTACTGCCCGATGAAGAGTGTACTATATATTTTCTTTACTAGAGGCCATACTTATACAAACGTGTATATATATTTATATAAGATCTACCTATCCTAGGACGGAATGTTTGAAGGAAAATAAAATTGGAAGCTCCCTCTAAAAAAAACAAAACAAAACAAAAAATCCTCCACTTCCAGTTGTGAGCCAAGAGAGTAACCCGAGAGCAGCCAGGAGCTTCCTGCCAGTAACCATGTTTTCAATAAATACTCTTTCATGTACAAACTGTGGTACTTATAAACAGCTGTTTCTCTGTACTCGCTCTCTGCCCAAGGGAGCGTTCACCTTGATAAGACTTCATTTCATCGGGTCTGGGAGACTTCCTCCTTTCAACCACTTTGCCCTCCCTGGGTGTGTGCGTGTGTGTGTGCGCGCGCATGTACACACACACACACACCTGGACAGTTAAGGATGCTCACAGACTGTTGCACCGGGACAAAGTGTCTTCTGCTCCGGCTTGCTGGGCACAGCAGGGAATGGCATACTGTACACCCCCGTGAATGTATCCTCCCTCTTCTCCCTGCCAGGGACGCAGCCAGGGAACAGCTCACATTCTTGTGACTTACAAAGAAGACATGTTCTTCACCCTGTGTGTCGCTGGTGCTTAGTGCCCAGCCTTCCAGCTGGTGTTTTAGGCTCTTGCTCCAAAACTCAGCCTTGGTAGCTGGGAGGCTTGAATGAGGGTGGTGATGAAAATAGATACTTTCTTTTCCCTCTGAGAGAGAAGGGGGGTGAGGACAAGCTCTTTCAAAAAGCATAGCAAGTGCAGGCAGTACAGGCCTTGAGGACTGAGGACAGCCAAGACCTCAGGCAGTGATGGGTGCCATTGTAGGTGCTTGGTAAGTGCTGAATGAATGAACTAATGCCTGCATCACGCCAGAGGGCAGGGGTGGAGGCAGCAGTGGTTTGCTTCAGGCACTGCTTACACTCTGGGCTCGAACTTTCTGTTGAGAGTGGCCAGGGAGCCCAGCTGAGTCACTTGCAAGGATCCACGTTTGCAGCCAGTGTTAGAAGAGAGCACAGGAGGCCCCAGGAAGAGAGAGCAAGAAAAACCCTAATGGCCTCCTGCAACCCTAGCCAGCTCTGCCCTCCTGGGGGCTCATGTGCCAGGCTCTGTCTCTTTTAATCCTGCAACAGGAGTGAGATCTGAATTTGAGACCACTGCAACCTGCCCCATAGCTACTTTTCCAACCACAGCTTTCGCTAACTCCCCTTACAACTGGGCTTTAAGCCAGGCCCCAGTCTTTCCTTCTCATTTCCTCTGCCCGGACATTCCCCCAACTCCCCCATTCAACCTACTGAAATTAATTCTTAGAAAGTTTCAGGCACACAAAATCTTTCACAAATGTGTATTATTTATCTCTCATGGATCTTCTAAATTTTAATGCCCCTGACTTATCATTCCCCAGCTGGCTTAAGATCTCAGTAGAGAAAGGCCATGAAAGTTTTTATCTTTATGGTTCCATGGTTGTCCAGCAGTAGGTTGGAATAAGGTTAATTAATCTGTTCAATAGAAGTAAACATGTGGCTATTTTCTGGCTGCCCCGGGTGCGCATGCCTCCGCAACACGCACTGGGCGCCAGAGCGAGGCGGATGGAGCGCGGGTGACCCAAGCAAAGACCGCACGAGAAGCGGCACAGGGTCTCCGAGAACGGTGCGGGCGGGCCGACCTCTGTAGCCCCGCCCCGCCCCTCGGCGTCTTCGGGCGGAAGTGCCCCCACCCGCGGCGGCGCTCGGTCTCGCACTTCCGGCGGGAGGATCCGGCCCGGCGCGCCCGCGACCGAGGTGAGTGGGCGCGCCGCGGGATTTGCGCGCGCTCCCGCGGTCTGGGGAGGGCCAGCCCAGGCGGGAAAGTGGGGTCCCGGCCGGGCTCTGCGCGCCGGGGCCCGCTCGGGCTCCTGTCCCTCTCGGGCCTTCGTGTCCGCGCTGTGGAGGGGCCGGGGCCTCCACTCGCCCTCCCCAGCCGCCTGCCGCGCGTGCTTCCTCGGCGCTGCCTGCGCGCGCGGCGACGGGCCGGGTGCTGAGCCGGGCGGAACTGCGCGGACGCGGCCCGGGCGGCGGAGAGGCCGCATCCCGCGGTGGGGTGGGAGTGCGGGGCGCGCAGTAAGACACGTGGGCATACTGGGCATCGTCAGGTGGTAGGAGGTGCCAAGAAGACGAGGAGCGGGCCCTCGAGGAGGGTGCAGCCGAGCAAAGGTCCGCGGAAGAGGGAACGGCCGGTGCAAAGAAGGACGCAGGCTCGATGGCCCTGGCAAACGGCCAGGGGCCAGCGTGGCGGGCTCCGGGGCAGTGTCGGGAGAACAGGGTTGCAGACACGGGCAGAGGCTAGATGGTGGAAGGCCCTCCTCCCTCCTCTCGGGCCCGCTCAGGTGTTGGGATTCGCCCTATGAGGGCGTGGTCTGCTTTCCGGTGCGTGAGCCTTCTCTCCGGCTGCTGTGTGCACTCCGGGCTGTCGGGGAAAGAGGAAGCAGGGACACCAGTTAGGAGACCACCGCAGCCCCGAGGTGAGATCACCATGGCTTAGACGATGGCCGAGAGCAGGTGAAGACAGGCAGCTGGTCCACAGGGGATCTGTGAGAAGGAACTGATCTAGGATAGGATTGGAGGAAGGAAGGAAAGAGTGGTCAGGGATGAGTTCATCATTCATTTGGGGGCTTAGGCTTAAGTAACCGGGTGTATTGTGCTGGCATTTACTAATGACTTTGGAATAGGTTGGGGGCACCTTCAGTTTGAGGTATCTTGGGTGGAGCTACCAGGTAGACTCTTGGAGGTTCCAGCCGGGAGCTGGCAGAAAAGGGTGGGGCAAATGGAAAGAATTTAGAAATCACTGGAATGTCTCTCAGATGGGATGAGATTACTCAAGGGAAAATGAAGAAAATCCAGGGACCATCCCTCAGGGGGTCAACTTTTTACAGGTTGGTTGACAAGGAGGAGCCATTGAAGAAGGCCAGGAGTCCAGAAAAGCAGAAGAAACAGCAGGAGAGTGTGGTGTGGCATCCAGGAGGCTTTACCAGTAGGAGGAAGTGGTCAGTTTTGTAAGGTGCTGATGAAAACAGAGACTTGCTCCTCAGAGGGGAACAAAGGGGAAGGTGTAGGGACTCAGTGGAGCAGTGGGGCAGGCTGAAGTGAGTTTGGGCTGCAAACGAGTAGGGATGGTAGTGCAGAGGACCCTGGGGGAGTTCTGCTGTAAGGGGGCCAGGAAGGACGTAAGCCCTGCCACAGGCCACCATCAGGCACTGTACCGGATGCCACTGACTCGCCTCCCAAGAGGCAGATGATGAAGTCCAGAGTTCAGGACATGCAAGAGTCCCCATGTTCATACAGGAGCCAGGAATGGATCCCAGGTCTTTCTCATCCCAAGCTCACACTTGTAGCACTAAATAGCACTGCCCATGTTAAAGTCACGGAGATTGAGGGGGGCCAGGTGCTATGGGAGGCTATGCACCAACTCCATCCTGATGTGGCTGCTACTCCCAGCTAGGCTGCCCTCTGGGGAAACTAATGCAGAATATGGAATTCCTTTCTTGTTAAGTGGGATTTGAAAAAAAGAGCATTTGCCTCTTTAAGCCTGGTTTCCCTTACCATAAAAGTAGGGTGGGGACCGTATCAGTTACATATCTCTATTTCCCATGCTAGGTATACAGTGGTGCTTAATAAATGGCCATTGAGTAAATGGCTAGATGATTTCCAAGAGTCCTTCTAGCTGAGGTCTGATTTTGTGTTTGGGGTTAGGTGACAATAGGAGAATGAGTGTTGTTAATTTGGAGACAGTGCTCCCTGTGGGCTGAGGTAATCAGAGGGACTTTCTGGAGGTAGGGGACCTAGACTGACTGAAGGAAGGGTGGGATTTGAACAGGAGGTTTTGCGGGGGGGCGGGGATTGGCACAGATTGCCATGTTGGAGCAGAAACTGCACCAAAGGCAGAGTATGTGACGAGTTGACTCACAGAAAAGTACAGACTGCCCTGCCTTGGGTGGGAACCACGGGGATCAGGTGCTGGCAGGTGGAAGGCCCTGTGGTTGCCTCTGTGGTGTAGGCAGTCATTCTTAGCAGGGAGCGCTTTTGCCCCCCATGACATTTGGCCATGTCTGGGGACATTTTTGTTTGTCCTAACTTGGGATTAGGAGCAGGGGCTGCTCTCGGCATCTCTAATAGGTAGAGATCAGTTCGCTCCTAGACATCCCACGACGCACGAAGAATGATCTGGCCCCGAGTATCAATAATGCCAAGATTGAAAAACCCGGGTATAGGGAAAGGCAAGGATGCTAGAAGCCACAGTGAAGCAGCCCGTGCTTCCCCCACCTGCGGGGCCACAGGGATCGCGCTAGCCACAGTGCAAGCACCACAGCCGTGCTGCTGGGCCACTGCTGCAGATGGTGTGGTTTCTCCAAACTCATTCTCAAAACCAGTTCTATGAAAAACATGTCCATGGCAGACATACTCTTGGAAATTGCAGTGCATGATAGAACCATGGAAAAACTTCATCAGGTAAAACAGCTGGGTTCTTGGGGCGCCTGGCTGGCTCAGTCCATAGAGCACACGACTCTTGGTCTCAGGGTTGTGAGTTCGAGCCCCATGCTGGGGACAGAATCTACTTAAAAAAAAAAAAATTGGGTCCAGGGTTCAGGTAATTATAAGTAAGTCTTATATCTACGTGGATTATCAAAGTTACAAAGGATGTGGTGCAATTCTCAGTTTTGTGGACTGTCACTCTCTTAGACCCCCCCCCATATCACTAAAAGCTAGGAGAGTTCCCCTAAAAACACCCCCACAGGTTTCCAAAATTCCCCTCAAGAGAATCATAGCCCTACCATATCCCTTCAACAAAACCTTATGCTAGCTCCCAGTTTGCCTCTGGGAAGGGCAGTGATAACCCAGCTTCCAGTGTACAGAGCTGGATGAAAGACTCCCTTCAGAAAGGACTGGGGGTGGGGAAAGTAGGGTATGCCTGGTCAGATGGTTCTCGGAAGGCTTCCAGGAGGTGGCATCGCAACAGGTTGCTTACGTCACAGAGGAGGAGACAGAGACGGAAGGGACACACACGTGAAGTGGCAGGTGGGATAACTGTGCACCTGGGTCAGCCCAGTCTCAGAGCCTGTGTGCTCTAGACCCTAATTAGGGCTGCCTAGATGGATGGGCCAGGAGCAGGTTAGTTAGGTAAGACAGTAAAGCAGGCCCCGCCTCTGGGGGAGCAGTCCTTAGAGCCTAAGGGAAGGGGAGGTATTGGTTTCCTGGTCCATTTTTAATGCCTTAAAGATCAGATCAGTTCCCTGAAAACCAAGTGCCCCTCCCTTGCACTGAGTCATAGACCCAGATGGCCAACTCAGTGTGCCCAGTGAGCGCAAGACTGCCGGGAGCACCGCGCTCCCGTCTTCCTGGGGCTCAGCCTCCCAGGGGACAGACACCACTCAGAGCAGCCTGCCCTGCGCACGTCCACCGCAGGGAAGGTGGGGAGCCTGGGAGCAGCCCATCGAGGTGGGGTAGTCCCTGAGGAGACGACCGTAGAGCTGAAGTTGAGCAGCGTCAGCTGAGAGGAAATGGGGGGTGGGCGGCACATCCCTTCCTTCGGGCTGGAGGAGAGAGCCTGTGTGTCTGGGGGGCCCAGGCAGCCGGTGGGATGGGCACGGAGAGCCCGGAGCCGAGGCTGGAGAGGCCAGCTGGGGGACGGGTCAGGATGGCGGAGCTGACAAGAAGGCTTTTGGTCTTTATCAGAGGAGCCCGGGGAGCACTGTAGGGCTGACATCTGATCTGACATGATCAGATTTACGTTTTTAAAAGTTCACTTTGGCGGCAATTCATGGAGAACAGCTTGAGGCAACAGAGTGAACGCGACTAGAGCTCTGTGAGCCCACGCTGGGCCCGCACCCCTTCCTGGCCCCCACTGGGTCCACTTTGGCCCCCTCTCTGCAGGCAGGGGTGGGGTGGACCCTCGCTCTGCCCAGCCACCCAAGCTTCCTGTCCATTCCTCTAGCCTCCGACCTGGGGACACGTGAGCCCTGAGGCCACTCAGTCATGGAGAGCGTTGGCTCAGGCCACCAGCCCCTCGGATGAGGCCTCTGCCTGGGGCTCCGCAGATGATTCTGAATCATGGAGGTGAAGAGGACACCTCCAGCCAGGAGCCCTTGTTGACAGTCGCGGCCCAGCTTGGCCAGCTCTTCCCGCGGTGTTCCAGAGGGGCGCCTGCCCCCCCCAGCCCGGAGCCTGGGAGCTGCAGCTTCCCCGGATGGGGCGGTGGGGCCTCGACGTGGCCTTTGTGTGGAAAGCGCTCTTGACTCTGGGGCTGGTCCTCCTCTACTACTGCTTCTCCATCGGCATCACCTTCTACAACAAGTGGCTGACGAAGGTAATGGGAGGCCTCGCAGCACAGGGGCCCGGCTGGGAGGGGGCTGCAGTTAGCACAGGCTGGCACAGGCTTCAGCTGATGAGACTGGAAGCCAGTCACCCTCGTGATGGGACGGGGCCCTAGAGCCCTGCCATGCCAGGGGTTCCCCTCAGATGGGTGGGTCGAAGGGAAATTGGGAAAGGGGGAGACACCAAGGAGGAGCTAGGGTCACTTGGGATGAATGCAGCAACTGGTTATCGACTGGTAGAGAAGGACTTCGGGGTTTGAATAACCGGTCCAGCCGCACTGGCCAACGCTGGCTATGACCCGGGGGCTGGAGCGGGAGGCTGATGGGCCCCGGGAAGTGGTGGAGACAGCACCGGGGCACAGTGGACCCCTGGTCTGCCACTGGCTCTCAGCATGATCTCCAGTATTGGAACTATGAGTCTCTCATCCCAAGTGATTGCTGATCGGGGGGGCCGGGGGGGGAGCCCTTTGGCTGCTGTAGAGCCCTAGTGAACCCCGCGGCCGGCGCCACTGCTGCTGGCCTGGCCGAGTGGGGTGGGGGGCTGTAAACCACGCCGGGCTGTCTGTGCTTTGGGCTCCTAGAGCTTCCACTTCCCACTCTTCATGACGATGCTGCACCTGGCCGTGATCTTCCTGTTCTCCGCCCTGTCCAGGGCCCTGGTTCAGTGCTCCAGCCACAGGGCCCGTGTGGTGCTGAGCTGGACAGACTACCTCAGGAGAGTGGCTCCCACAGGTTCGTGGCCCTGGGGCGGTCCTGGGTGCATGGAGGCTGGGGGCAGTGTCGTTTGGAAAGCTGTGGGCTGAGAACAAACAGAGCCTTGGTGGCATGGAGAGAAGGCCCTCTCCACCCACCCCCTTCACTCCTCTCAGCCTGCCTCCCCCCAGCCCTACTTCTGCCTCTCATGTCCTCCCCAGGCCCCCCTACACATACACACCACACGCATGCTCACACACACCGGGAGAAGCCCCGGATGCAGAACTGGCCTTGACCAGGCGCTCCAAGCCCACATCTGCCCTCACCTTGCTCGTGGGACGATGAGGGGCGCCTTGGAGTGCAGAGGAGGGGAACGAACCCGGGCCCAGGTGGGGAGGGCTTCCCAGAGCATGGGCTGAAATGGCCGAGGGTTTAGTGCCTGTGCAGGTCTGCAGGGGGACCGAAGGCATCTTGGGATGCCAGGAACTGCCGTGCTGGTGAGAAGTGGGAGGCAAGAGAGGGTGGCAGGGACAGATCCTGGAGGGCCAGGTCCTCCATGAGGAGTGTGCCTTCCACCGGGTGGAGGAGAAGCTGCTCTGACCAGTTGCGCAGAAGGGATGACAAGACTTGAGGGATTAATACCCTTCCTCTGGGGACAGTCACAGCACTTAGCAGGCCCCGCCCTGCCCTGCCCATCAGCCCTATTGCTGGAGCAGCACCCCTCCCTCTTTTTGGCCAGGAGTTAAGCCTTCAGTTGCTGTGAAAGGAATGCCCAAGGGCCCCAGAGAAAGCCAGGGTGTTCAGGGCAGAGCAGGGGGCACTTGGGGGCGCCGTGGAAGTGTCTAACAACTGTCTTGCCCTTGCCGGCCCGCCCTGGCTACATGTCCGGTGGGCACCCGTGTCTCCACAGCACTGGCAACGGCGCTTGACGTGGGCTTGTCCAACTGGAGCTTCCTCTACATCACCGTCTCGCTGTGAGTCCCAGCACGCCTTCCCAGCCCCCTGCCCCCACTGCCAGGCTCAGGCGCCCTGTCTGACCCTGTCCACACCCCCTACCCCGGCCTGTGGGGCCTGTGGGCTGGCTATGCCACCACCCCCAGAAGCAGCCCCTGCTCAGCTCCGCACTGGTAGCCCGCAGCCCTCGCAGCAGTCGATGGGCTCCGAGGGTTGCTGTGCCTGCGTGCCAGGTGGCTGTGGGGTGCCAGGCGCTCAGAGCGGTGCCGGTCATGCGGGGGAGGAAGGGCACTGACCCCCACAGAGGGGCAGGTGTAACAGCTGTTTCTCATCGCAGACCTTAGTTCAGGGTGCACAGTCCCGCCTTCTCTTTTCCTCCTTCCTGATCCCAGTCCCCACAGAGGAGCAGGTAAGTAAGAGGACGTGGTGAGCTCAGGGTTGACCTGGAGCCTCTTCTCTCTGGCGACAGTCAGAGGCCCCTTCATCAGACATTGCTGCCAATGAAAGGTCACATATCAGCCGGATGACTCATGCCTTCGGTCTTTTGTACTCAGATTGCTCAGCTGCCCTGAGCAGAGCCAGTTGCTCTCAGGGAAGTCAGGGGTCCCCACAGCCTCCCACCTTTCCAGCACAGTTCGTGGGCTCCTGTCCTGGTGGCAGCTCTGGGCCCTGGGCCCTGGGCCCTGGCAGTGCATCGTGGGTAATTTGTCCTCGCAGGTACACCATGACCAAGTCTTCCGCCGTCCTCTTCATCTTGATCTTCTCCCTGATCTTCAAGCTGGAGGAGCTGGTGAGGCCCCAGCTCCCCTGGTCCCTCCTACCTCCACAGATGCTAAGACTAAAAGGGGTGTCTGAGCAGTGGCTTGTCAACTGTATGTGACAGAGGAGACGAGGCCAGCCCAGCTGGCAATAACTCCTGTCGCTGAGGAAGGACCTAGGACAGGCCACTGCTGAGAATACTTAGCAGCTGGCATGGCAGGTGTAATGACCAAAAGAATGACAGAAAGAGAAAGGGTTCAAGGATAGGGGTCAGGCGCAGGCAGGTCCTGGAGGCAGTTGCCCCTTATTTGCCAGGGCCAGAGTACGGGGGGACCTCCTGGGGGCCTAGAACAGCTGTAGGAAATTACTCCGGAAGTTTAAGTAGGGATGCTGGGTACATGTCCACGGAATGTCAGTCCTGCCTACATGAATGGGAGGGTGCTGGCTGGGACCCCAGAGGTCACGGGGGAGAAGGGTTTCTTGTCCCAGATCAGCCAGCATAGCCCCTGGGCCCAGGCTCCAGGGTTGAGAAACTCAGGACCCTGCAGTCAGTGGCCGCTGCTCCCCGCCCTGCTAGCGTGCGGCCCTGGTCCTGGTGGTCCTCCTCATCGCCGGGGGCCTCTTCATGTTCACCTACAAGTCCACGCAATTCAACGTGGAGGGCTTTGCCTTGGTGCTGGGGGCCTCATTCATTGGTGGCATCCGCTGGACCCTCACCCAGATGCTCCTGCAGAAGGCGGAACTCGGTGAGAGCGGGCTGCGGGCCCCAGGCAGGGTGGAGGCAGGCCAGGTCGGGCCTGACGACTCACGCCCATCCTTATCCCACAGGGCTCCAGAACCCCATTGACACCATGTTCCACCTGCAGCCACTCATGTTTCTGGGGCTCTTCCCTCTCTTTGCCATATTTGAAGGTACGTTGGGTTGTCCATCTTGGGGGCCCCTCGGTGCAACGGATCCCCCTCCCTGCTCTGAGGCCAGCTCTGTGGTAGCTGCAGAGGTTACAAAGATCAAAGGTGCTGTCCGTCCATTGGCAGAGCCTGGTCGAAGGGCTGGACAGACATTAAACCAGATGGCTGGAATTCAGCATGATAAATGCTTACACAGAAAGTGTACGTAAGGGGCGCCTGGGCGGCTCAGTTGGTGGAATGTCTGCCTTCGGCTCAAGTTATGATCCCAGGGTCCTGGAATTGGGCCCTGCATCAGGCTCCTTGCTCGGCAGAAAGCGTGCTTCTCCCTCTCCCTCAGTCTGTTGTTCCCCTGCTTGTGCTGTCTTTCTCTTTCTCTCTCTTTCTGTTAAATAAATCAAATCTTTATTAAAAAAAAAAAAGTATATAAAAGACAACAGACGATAACGATAGTGGACGTGATACAGCCAGACCGCTATGCCAGGGTGGTTCTGATCTTTTTTTTTTTTTAAGATTATTTATTTGAGAGAGAACACGAGCAGAGGGAGAGGGAGAAGCAGACTGCACTGAGCAGGGAGCCCGACTCGGGGCTCCATCCCGGGTCGCCGAGATGATGACCTGAGTGGAAGGCAGACACTGAACCGCCTGAGCCACCCGGGCGCCCCTGTTCTGATCATTTTACACGTGCTCCCCCAAGCCCCCACGTGGCAGTATGAGCGTTATGTCCATCGTGCAGGTCAAAGAAACGGTGGAGACAAGTGAAGATAACCGCCCAACGAGCCAGAATTCAGTTCCAGCTGCTGGTTCCAGAGCCCTTCCTCTTAACCATGACATGTTCTGTCTCTTAGAAGGAGCAGAGGGCCAGGAATTCTTTCAGGATCCTAGCGTGGAAAGCCAAGTCAAAAAGACTTCCCAGGCACAGGCAGACAGGCAGGGTCTCCCAGGAAGTGGGACCAGTAGGTTCAGAGGGTGGCAGCATGGGGGATGGAGTGTGTGGCCGAGGGGCAGGAGGCTGGGTAGGGTACCCTCCCCGCCCACCTTCACTTCCCAGACAAGAGGAGGGGGGTATGGGGAACCGTCCCGGCTGCAAGTGCAGGCCTCCTTCCTTCCTTCCTCCTGGCTTTCAAGATTAGTCTTTGTCCCTGTTTATCCTTCTCCCAGTCCCTTCCTTCTGTCCTCAGGGTCCTTACAGAGACTTCTGCCCCACATCCATTTTAGTTTCAAGCAGTGAAGCGTCTCGAACTCTCCAGCTGGTTCCGTTGTCCAGGAAGCTTCTGCTCTGCAGCCTCCTTTTTCTCCCAGTTACCGTCTCCCCCACCCTCGCCTTCTGCCCCCTGTGCCACCCGGCACGCCCCCTCCCGTCCTGGCCACGGACACCTTTCCCCATCCCTGCACCCCCTCCGCCTAAAGCCCTGGGAGTTGTCACTTAGCAAAGCTGCATAGATTTAGCTCCTTTAATCTTTTCTGGTAAATTAATCCCCCAAGCACCTTCAGCACTTATGTTGCTCTTTCCCGAATTTCCTTCAATTTGCCGCCGCCTTTGCAGTGCTGCTGAGCCCGGCACCAGACAGGGCGCCCTACGTCGGGCACCTCCTTGCCCGGGAGGGACTGTCACTCCACACTTCTTAGGTGCTTCCCTCCAAAAATCTCAGTGCTCGGCCTGCCCCCAGCCCCCACAGGTGCCTGCTGTGTGCCTCTCTCGGGGCCTTTACTGCACAGACCTATGGAGGGACAGTATTGGAGGGCCAGGAACCCTCTAGAAGCCACACCAAACTTGGTGTGTGGGGGTCCATGGGCGTGTCTCAAGAACAAGGCTTTGTCCTGTATTTATGTGTGTGTGTTTACTTCTTGAGAACTATTCCCCACGTTATACTGCCTGAGAAACGCAGGTCTGGCTGAAATGCTCTCATTTCATCACTGAGGGGACGGTCCCGAGAGGGGGCATGTCTCAGCCACGTCCCACGGCTGAGTGATGGCGAAGACCCAGATTAAAGTGGGGAAGGTTTGGGAAGATGAAATGAGGTCCTGTTGCTAGGTGGCCCACCTAACATTGAGAGGGAGGGTTCGCCTCAGGGCCCAGGGCGCTAACAGTTGTCACTTGATGGGCCGCCCTGCCTCTCTTTGGTCCCCTATTTACCACAGCTGCAGAGGCCACTTGAAGTTGCGCTCCTTCCCAAAGACAGGCAGGTCAGCACCGAGGGAGGGGACAGGCCTTCCACCCTAGCACGGGGACACTTGGGGGACCATCGCTGCTTCCCTGGGTCCCCAGGTGTAAGGCTGTCTGCACAGTGTTCTCTTCCACCTGCCGTCCCCCTCCTCAGGGCTGCAGCGAGTGGGGCCGGGGTGGGGAGTGACTGCCCCATGCTGGGTCTCCCACTCCCTGGGGACACCAGCACGTGGCCTCCCACTCTCTCCCTTTGCTTTCAGGTCTCCATTTGTCCACATCGGAGAAGATCTTCCGTTTCCAGGACACTGGGCTGCTCCTGCGGGTGCTGGGGAGCCTCTTCCTTGGAGGGATCCTCGCCTTTGGTCTGGGCTTCTCTGAGTTCCTCCTGGTCTCCAGAACCTCCAGCCTCACCCTCTCCATTGCTGGCATTTTTAAGGTGCAGACGTGGGGGTGGCCCCAGTCCTGTCTTACAGCACAGACCCCAGGCTCAGTAGCAGCTTCTGTCCCAGCTCCTGCGCCCCAGATCCCAGCAGAGACGAAACAGCCCGCTTAGGGTGCTCTCGTCTGAAACTCCCTCCCGTCCTGGCCGCAGTCCTGCAGGGTGGTTCCCAGATGGAGGACACACACCCGCAGGTGGCTGAGCTGGGATTCTGACTCCACTGGGCCTGGGGTGCATTCTCTTGTTACCATGAATGCCCACTCTGGTCTCTGGTCATTTGGCAGTGCCTGGAGCTGTGGGTTGAGAAGCCCCATCCAGACTCATTGGGAGAGGGGGGGGGGGTCTGTGATTGATTGGTGATGTCTGCCATGGTCACAGCAAGGGACACTGCTTTGTTTGCCTGTTTTGCCTTTACTGCTGCCCAGCAGCACATGTGCCTCTGCTCTCAGGCATCCCCCTCCCCTGCCACCCCTCACACCGCCCTGCTCGGCCCATGGGGGCGGGGTACGGTTTCTCCTTGATGAGACAGACACTGGCGCCAGAGCAGTGTTGCCTAAACCCAGAACTATACGTCTCCCCAAGGGGCTTAGGAAGAGGCGTGAGCTGCGGTTCTCAGAATTAGTCATGTCACCAGTCCTACCAGCAATCACCGTGTCTGCAGAGCCTTGTGGCCATTGTGTGTCCTGTGGAGCCCAGGGTGACGCGGCATTCTCCGGGCAGCATCGCACCCTCCATGTCTGGGTGCCTTCTGGAAGCACAGCTGTCCTTCCCTCCTATGCACATGGCCGCAGGCTGGACACTCTGCTCCCAGCCTTGGGTCTGGTTTGCCTCTTCTAACCCTGACAGAATGCTGTGCAGAGCACCTCCCTTGTTGCCTCTTAGTAGCACCCAGGGAGGAAAGCACTGCTGGCAGGCCTGGTGCTCTGAGCTCAGGGAAGCCCCCATTTTGCCCTGCTGGCCAGGCCGCCCCCATCCCCAGGAGCCCTGGCAGGCCGGGCTCTGCCCTGCGGTTGTGCCCGGTGTCCCCACCGTCTGCCTTCCTTGCAAAGGAGCCAACTCCTGATCGCTTCCCCTTCCTGCCCCTCTGCCTTTTAGGAAGTCTGCACTCTGCTGCTGGCAGCCCACCTGCTGGGGGATCAGATCAGCCTCCTGAACTGGCTGGGCTTCGCACTCTGCCTCTCGGGCATCTCCCTGCATGTGGCTCTCAAAGCCCTCCACGCCAGAGGTAACCCAAGCCCCACTCAGAAGCCGCTTTTCTGGTGCTCCCCCCTCATGACTCAGCCCCTCTGATCTCCCCTTGACCCAGCCCTAGGGCCCCAGCCACCCAGCCAGGAGAGGCAGGTGGCTCCACTCACCCAGGGCCGCAGCCATCTCCACATGGGCTCCCCCCCGCCCCCCCACTCAGAAGCTGGTCATCTCCAAGGGGTGGGGTGGAGTAGGTGGGACCTGGGCAACTCTACACGCACATCGGGGGACACCAAGAAAACTGTGGTTGGGTCTACAGCTGGTTTCTCTCTGTCCCCAGGTGACGGTGGCCCTAAACCCTTGAAGGGGCTGGGCTCCCACCCCGACCTGGAGCTGCTGCTCCGGAGTAGCCGGCCAGAGGAGGATGACAACGAGGAGGAGGGGGAGTACTTTGTGGCCCAGGGGCAGCAGTGACAAGCCAGGGGACTGGCGGGGAACCAGGCTGCTCCCAGGCCTCACACCTCACTGCAGCCCGGGAGCAGGGGCCTGGGACTCTCCCAGGCTGGGCCTTGGGGAGCACGTGACCACGCGGCGGGGCTCCCGCAGGTCGCTGGTGCAACAGAGAGGGGAGCGTCAGGCCACAGCAGGGCCCAGATGTGCCCCGCTGGCCAAGGGAGCGGGCTGGTCTCCGCGGCTTGCTGGGCGCTGACAGCCCAGGTGGTGATTTCCAGGGGCAGAGCGGGTTTCTAAGGGGCCGGGTTTAGACTGCGGAGCAGTTGGGAAGGGGAGATGCCAAGGCTGCAGCCTGGCATCTCCCCTCGGGTCTGGGGTGTGTCTTTTCTCAGTACAGGTCTATTTATAGTTTGGAAATAAAGGATTTACAGTCCACTGGCCACTTGGCTGTTGCCTGGAAGAATGGGGGCTGGGGGGTGGTGGATGTGGACCTTGCTCTCCCCTTCTTTCCCTGCCCGGGGCCGCCTTCAGATGACCGGTCAGACTGCTGGCAGTGAAAAAGTATGAACAGAGCACCATTCTGGGGCTGTTAGGGCTTTCACAGCCTAGATTTGAGTCCTGTCACTTACTAGCTGTGTGACCTTCAGCAGATTGCTTAACTTCTCTGTACCCCAGTGTTTTTCTCTGTGGAATGGGAATAATTTTCTCGGTTATTCGGAAGATGGAGTCAATATTGATAGTAGATTAAATGTATATAAGTGTTGGTTTTGCAAATTCTTTCAACAACCATGGAATCAGGACCCTACACGAGTGACAACTAGGATTCACAGCCAGGTCCTGTGCCAAGCACATGCCCGTGGAAGAGACGAAGATGGACTGGCTTAGGGGCCTCGGGGATCTGAGCAGAATTTCTGTTCACCTGACTTGGACCGGTCACACCCCCCCTCTGCACTGCAGCCTTTATAAAACGAGAGGGCTGGGCGAGATCCTGCTCTCATGTGCCAGGGTTTTGAAAACGCCTCTGCTTCAAAGGCCGGCTCCCCCCTACCCCCGCCGCCCCCTCCCCAAGGCCCAGCACTTCCAGACAGAAGTGCTTCGAGGCACCCACAGCAGGTGGCGCCGTTGCACCACGCGGTTCCCCGGGCGCCACCCCGCCGGCCGCCGCGCTCAGAATCCAGGCTGGGGTCCTGGGAAGAGGACAGTGGTGTCTTCGGACGGGGACCAGGACGGGGCTTGTCACCGACTGCTCTAATCACATCGGAGCCACAAAAGCACACTCCGTTAAGCCTAGGAAGACAGTTACACTTTAGAAGCAGGTCAGCAAACTTCCGTAAAACGGGCCAGATAGTCCGGGGCTGTCTGCTCCCGTCTTCCGTCGCCCTCTGCCCTCATAGCAGGAAGGCGGACAGACACAAAAGGGTGTGGCTCTGTCGAGGGACACCTCACTTCCCAATCCAGGAGTCTGCTCGAGGCGCTGGGTTACCAGCTCCTGCTGTAGAAAATCCCCGAGAAGGCTGGGGACCCGCGGGCAGGGAGCCAGCGGGGAAGCCGAGGCCGCGGAGGGGGCGGGACTTAGCCTGAGGTCCTGAGAGCCTCGGAGCTCAGGAGGAATTGGGAGGAGATCTACGCCCGCCCCCGCAGTCCCAAGGCAGACAGACTTCCCTCAGAGAGTGGAGGTCGCCCTCCGAGAGCTCCCCTGCTGTGGGGCCTTACCTGGGCCGACCCCTCCGCCGCCCTCCCCGCCCCCCCACCGCCCCCCCGGATTCTGCGGGCTCCGAGGCCAGGACGAGAGCAGCTCACACTCCACACCGCATGATGGATGACGTGGGGCCAGCCAGCCGAGAGGAGGGGCCGAGGGCCTCCCGCCTCTGTCGGAGAGGCTGCTCCTGGGCGGGAGAGCCTGCCACAGCCCCGCGCCGGCTCAGGTGGATGAGAGCTTCCTGTCTGCTCCCCCCACCGTCCGCCCTCTCCCCACCCGGGGAGTAAGCGCTGCTGTCTAGTGCAGTAATTACAGGGTGCAGAGCGGGGCCCGCGCCGCCCGCGTATTGGGTTCAATGACAGCCCCTCACTTAGCAGCAATTACCAGCTGAGCCTGGAGGAGGCCTCCCTCTCCTCCCCCACCCGGCCCACCCGATCGCCTGGCCTTCTGGGCCAGACAGCGTCCACCCGGGCCCCGAGCCCTGGAAGCACCCATGCCGTCTGCAGCCATTGCATCTTGGGGCTGCAGCGTCGCCATGGCAACTCGGTGCTTGCACAGGTCGAGGGAAGCTGAGGATGTGACTTGTCTCTCTAAGGCTGTGGCGTCTGTCCCCACGCGGCCTCCAACTCTGGGGCTTTGGCAGAGGAGGGCGGAAGGAGGGCTGACCTGCGGGTTCAAGTTTTAAATGCTTACATGCCCATCGTCTCTCCCCCGGGCCGGGAGAAGGAAGGTTAACGCCCCTACTACACGAGGATGTCTGCAGTCGGGGTCGTGGTGGGAGGAGAAGAGGCTGGGTTCGCCCATGGGGCCAGACCCCAGACAGGAGCAGGACCTGAAATGCCTTCATCTTCATCCTGGCACCCTTCTCTGCTTGGGTTTGGGGAGGCCACCCGGGTCTGGTTCTGCTCCTGCTATTGAGAGAAACCCGAAAACCCAGTGGCTGGAGAGCGGAGTCCCTTGGTACAGATAGAATTGTTTCCGCAGTACTTGCCACAGCTCTCTGCATCCTGCAGTAATGTTGGACTGAGGGGGGGGGTCCCCAATTTGCAATCCAGAGGACAGGGTGGGGACTCCTCACCCATTTGGGTCGACCACACTCAGCGAGCACTGGCCACATCCGGGGCGCTGTGCAGGACTTGGGTTAGGGATGAGTGTTCTTGGAGAGACAGCAAGTGGGGCCCCCCTTCCTCCCAGGCCCAGGGAAGTGTGGAGGCAGGGGACAAGGGATCTGGGGAGGAGAACAGGATATCCGCTGGGTACCCTCTAGGCCTTTCCCAGGGGTGACTTGTCCCTAACAACCATGGCAGTAGGGATGAATTATCCCTATTTCAGAGCTGTGGAAACGAAGCTCATGGAGGTTAAGCTCCACTGTGACAGAGCAGCCTCGGGACCCCACCAGACTTGGAGTTTGCCCTCCTTTCCTCCTCTCGCTCTGTGACGAGGTATGTACCTTGGGGACATTGCTGATCCCCTCTGGGCCTGCCTCCTTGTTTGTAAAGAAGGAAAAATGATAGCCAAAGCTATTGTGTAGATGAAATCGAATCATCTGTGTCAAACAGCACAGCGCTGGGCACGTGCTAGGGGCCGCTCAGCACATGCCAGCGGCCAGGGTGTCCCATCACTTGCCAGGAGACAAAGCCAGGGAAAGGCACAAGCATGGCGGCCCCGGGCCTACAAAGGAGCCATCCTGCCTGCCATGCCTGGGTCCATGGTGACACTTAATAGATATTTGTTCTGTGAAGGAGTTCCCAACAGTGGAAACTGAAGTGGGGATTTTCCAGGTTCCGGGGACCTCAGTCTAACTTCTAAATGATTCCTTCTGCCAGAAAAGGCTGCCCCACCCATTCCTGCCATCCTTTGGCCTCCCAGCCATCCCCTTGAGACTTCGCCCCTAACCACACAGCCCTGACAGCAGCCAAGCCCCTTTGCCCCTGCTTTGTAACAACCAATTAGCTTGACTTCTGTTCCCATGGTTATTTACAGCTTCGTTGGCAACTAGTGCATTTCCCAGAAACAGGCCCACTGCTCTGGTCCCACCGGCATCCTACAGGCAGGGCTGTCCCTTTCTCCTGGGTGTCTGATGAGAACTCTCCTGCTGGGACAACGGAGGGACAGAGCAGAGAACCAAGAGAAAATGCACAAAGATACATTGAATAACTGTTTCCGGAGTGTCCACCGTGCACCCAGGCCAGTAAGACCTGCTAGAGATACAGAAGTCATGACGACACGCTTGCTGTCCTCAGTGAACTTCCACGGGGCTTTTTAATCCACTGGGTTTCCTGGGAGGTAGATGCACAACCGGAGATCGGTGTGGAGGACCTTATTTAGAAAGTGCTCTTGAGGGGCGCCTGGGTGGCTCAGTCGTTAAGCATCTGCCTTCGGCTCAGGTCCTGATCCAGGGTCCTGGGATTGAGCCCCACATCAGGCTCTCTGCTCAGCGGGGAGCCTGCTTCCTCCTCTCTCTCTCTCTGCCTGCCTCTCTGCCTCCTTGTGATCTCTGTCAAATAAATAAATAAAATCTTTAAAAAAAAAAGTGCTCTTGGGGAAAACACCTGTGGAAGGGAGGGTAAGGACATAAGTTTGGGCAGGGGGAGAAGTCCTGCTTTGAGGCAGTCCTGACAGAGAGACCTGGAAAGGAGCTAACCCTTCAGACTTACCCCATGTTGGGAAAAGCCTTTGCTCTTCCACACTGATCTGTCACAGGAAGCGAGCCTACCCTGGATGAAGGCTTCTGAGCAGCCCTTCACAGCATCCTCCACTCCCAGGGTCCACAGCCTGACTTCAGGGATGACCAGAAATCTTTGAAGAGGGAGGCGACATGACATGTATGTGCATATATGCATTTTTCTGGGGAAGAGTCCTTGATCCCCAAAAGATTAAGAATCACTAGTCTTGGGAAAGACAAGCTTATCCAAAACTTCAGAACAACATGATCAGACATGCAAACTATAGGTAATCAATAAATATGAATGAGTGGATGGGTGGATGGATGGTTAGATGATGGATGGGTAGATGGATGGATGGATGGATGGATGAATGGATGGACAATGGATGGGTGGATGAATGGATGGATGATGGATAGATGATGGATGGGTGGATGGACAATGGATGGATGATGAATGGATGGATAATGTATAGATAATGGATGGGTGGATGGATGATGGATGGGTGGACAATGGATGGTTGGATGAATGGATGGATGATGGATAGATGAAGGATGGGTGGATGGATGGATGGATGGATGGGTGGATGAATTGATGGACAATGGATAGATGATGGATGGGGGGATGGATGGATAGATAGATGGACGATGGATAGATGATGGATGATGGATGGGTGGATGGATGGATAAATGGATGGATGAATGGATGGATAATGGATGGATGGGTGGATGATGGATGGGTGGTTGGATAAATGGATGAATGATGGATGGATAGATGGGAAGATGGATGGATGGATGGGTGAGTGTATAATAGAAGAATGTATGGGAAGGACAGAAAGGGGACCAACCAATTTTGCCTGGGGCAGGAGGAGATGACCCTTTTGAACAGTCTTGAAGACGAAATAAGAGTTGCCAAGCAGACAAAAGGAGAAAGGCATACCAGGCAGGAGGAAGAGCAGATGCAAAGACAAAGAGGTATGAGTGATCACCTTCCCTCTTGGAGTCCACCCCTACAGGTTCTGTGTTATTAGTCACCCCACTTTCCAGATGGGAAACAGGCTCTAAAAGGCCAGG